CATAACACAAAATGAATGTGATGAACATTATCAAGCTTTGCTGTGCATTCATTATACACCCTATCTAATCTCACAGCTGCCCTGAGGAGAAGGAAGGGAGGTGACATAATTTAACTTGCTCAATGTTTGCTTCACAATGAACAGTCTTTCCCTGCATCAGAAACATGTAGACAAACACACAAGCAGCCAGGCCAATCTCAGTTATTGTGGTCTCCACTTCATATCTCTATAGCTGCAATAGCATTGACCCATTGTTACATTTGCGGTGGTACATATCAGCTGCAGCAGAACTGGCATCATGGCTACAGAGGTTAAGTCTGAAGATCCGCCTGAACACACAAGTACAGGCATTCAATACATTCCCACCTGCAGTATGAGTTCCTGAAGCTGTGATTGTTTCTGCTTAATCCTCTCCAGCCGCCTTTGTCTTTCCACCTACAGTTAATATAAAGGAAAAATTATAAATAGTGACAATGTATGGTGATAGAGAGCAGACATGCCCAAAACAAGCTCATATAAGAAAGGTCTTTGCTATGTGTTTCTACCTCTAGGTTTTGGCACTCCTGTGCTGAGTTGGTGGGCAGGCCAATCCACTTGATTTCTTTTTTCTCTTTAGAGATAATGTTCATGGCCATGAGCACATTAAGTGCATCGTACACACGCCGCCGAATGTTCTTCTGGTCATACACATGCTAGCAAGAAAAAAAAAACACAAGATTCAAAATACTAACAAAAACCTCTAAATTGGTAAAATTTAAAAAAAAAAGTCTTGCACTATATAAGCCCCCTTCAAATATCTGTATATGATTTAGGTTGGCATCATTCTGAGAAAATGTCATGCAGCTGCAGAACTCACCGAGTCATTGGGTGACATGTGGTTGTCTGAAGAGCTAAATTCTGCAACCAGTTCATCTGCCACTTCATTGTAGGTGGTTACTCCTTTCTTCTGCACCTTCTCACAGACTTTCATTGAGAAATGTCTCAAACCCTTCCCATTCTTTTCCCCTTTCTTACCACGCTTTCTGTGGACAGAACAGATCCCCCACACAAACATGATTATGGCATATATATCTCTTTACTTTATTCATATGACATAACAGACCTGACACATACTAAAACCACTTAATCTAATCTCCAAAGAGCTCTACAATGTCCCAAATCTATAAACTTAAATGTGTGAGGAACTGTGAGAGGAAATGAGAAAAACTTAAGAGACTTTTTGAAGACTTACCCTGATGACCAGGGAGATGCATCAGATGGTTGACTCTGAGCAAGGAACTGTGAACTTGGTGTATGTGGACTGTTTACCAAAATGGTATTTGATACTGTGGGCCTCTGAGGTGTTCCAATCACCTGCAAAAGAGAGGACAAGGGAACAAAACAAAATGTTAACACTCAGCATTTGGAGTAATCTTGTAAGGCTGTCCACATAAAAAGAGTTCTCCAAAATTCAGTGTATTGAAATCTTGAGTTTCGATGAGGGTGTACTTAACACCAGCTGTACATTTAAAAAAAGTTTTACTGAGGGGATTAGATAACATTTAGATAGAAAATTTGAATGGGCTCAATCGTATCAGAAATAACAAATATCTTGGTATTTAAGACATCTTTTTTGACTAATCAATTATCAGTCATGAAGATAGCCACTGATCAATTATAGAAATTGCTTAAAATTTGCACACTTAACAGTAATGAGGTATCTAAGAGATAGGTGATCTATTCCTTCACTAAGGTGATATCTAAGCTGATTTCCGTTATGTATACATTCCATGTATATAATGGGATGATGGGTGTAATCCTGCTGACTGTAGAGTTGATAAGCTTAGGATCAACTGCCTCCACCTACCCTCAGCCCGGTCACCTCACAATGATAATAGAGGGGCTTACACAACAGTAAGACACAGCAGAGAAACCCAGTAAGTGCATCTATACACAAATACATCTGCAGGACCCTGATAATTTAGAAAGCTGAACTTTTTATATCTATTGAGAAGCTCTAAACTCAACAAAAAATGTGGTTGTGAAAACACAAAAGCCTGACATTTGTGGAGCATCACTCACCATGTGTGGCACATGTTGCATGTGTGCAGCAACATTCACATTGGATGGCCCTAGGGTTTTGGGTAGTAGCTGTTTGGCCACAGGGGCAGCTGTAGGCTGGACAGTAACCAAAGATAGGACACCTAAAAGAAGACATGAGAGGACCAGATATGAGTGGAGCTCTTGATTGAAACTCCATTGCCCCCTATCGTCCAGCTGCCAGTACATAGGCCTACACATGAAGAAACATTATCTCCTTGTGGGACAGGCAAACTATACTGAATGTTGCATACGAATTTACTGCACTACTGCATGCAATTTCTAGGGGTAATTACTAGTAATTTGTACCTTTGCTGGGGCTCATATTCTGATCGATGAAAACCTTCAGCTCTCCATTTGTTTCAATCAGACCAGCCTGTGGAGGAGGAGAACTTAATACAATTCAAAATGCACTAAATTGAGGAAGCTATATGAGTCCAGTTAAACAAAAAGAGTACAGCAGAACATACATGAGGTTATAGGGGACATCTTAAGTTATAGCAACATTACAGATATGCCCTCATGTAACATCAGCTATGGTGACTGCCAGGTGACACAAACTACACAACTGTCTAGCATATAATTACTTACATCTTTAGCCATGATCCCAAAGGACCGGAAGAGTTGAGCTTCAGGCTGAAAAGAAAATTTTACTTCTATTCTTCACTCTTCAGACCCCTGACGACAGAAAGCAGGCAAAGTATTAAATAATGACAGTGGTTAGTTACCAACTTCAGCAAAAACATTACATCACAATATTTCCTGAGTTTAAATATATTATATTGATGCGGTTTTGATATGCAATTAAACTAGACTTGTTACTGAACTAAGGCCCATTTGAACTGTTTTCTGCCAGCACACTGTACAAAGCTACATCATTAACGTTAGCTTGAGTTACCGGGTATTCTTCTTACAAGACAAAATTGACGGAAATTTCTTACATTTTAGACCAAGCTCAAATATATGAACCTTTGAGGGCTGTTTCTGAATCCACCGTTTATGCAGAAAACCACATTAAACCATCCCCCGATGCTCGCAACTTTTACTAAGCTAAGTGTGCACAAGGCCTACTTCAGGTACCGAGCACGTCCGGAGGAGAGGCATCGTCGAACTTCTGCTACAGGTCACGAAAACATGCTAACTTTATCACACCAGCACAAAACTATTAATGTGACTTAAGTGATAGCACCACGTGGTTACAGATATTACGGATCCACACAGTTGCAACAGCATACATATCATACCACGATACTGAACAGTCTTTTGTTAAATGCAGCTAGCTAACTGTTACTGCTAACAGTTAGCGTTGCATTCAGATTACTTGCGTTAGCTAGCTTGTTAGCTTCTGCACGTTTTGAAAGGATTCACATATAATTTCGCATTTATTGGTTCCGTGCTGCAGATTCCTGGCAAAGTTGTGTATGGGTTAACATTTAAGAAATGTGTGTGCATGTCGCACGATGAATAAAGTTAAAATAGTGATTCTGTGCACTTACGAGTGCACTCTCCTGTTTCTTCGACGGCTGTTGTTGTTGGCATTTGAGAATGGAGGAAGAGGAGGTCTAAATCCCTTCCAAACAGGAAACAAACTAAGTAATGCCGAAGTACTTTTCAACAATTCTACACTTAATTCCAGGGACAAAATATTTTATTGATGTCGAGTATTTAACTTATGAGTTTATTTTCCCCTCAAGTTTGTCTTTTGCCCATGTACAGTAAGTAATGCCACGATCTGCCAGTTACTCGATTAGGGAAGCTGCATAAAAAGTGATCGTTTTCAATTGAAGAAAGACGGAGCGCAGAACAAAAAGGCAAATACGTGGAGTTTACAATCAAATAGAAACAATATATGTTTTATTCCGACTGTGAATGTTGTTATACATTTAAAACTGTGACTCAAAATAATTCGCCACAACTTCTGAAATGCCTGCTACTGGTAATTAGATTATTTATGATTAGTATATTGTGGCTTCCTGACAGTCATGGAACTGTTATTGCAAGATACTTTTCACCTCCCATTCAGTCAGAAACAAACATAGTAACAGTGACTTCTTCGTCCCAAAGTTACATTCATAAACTCACAAATTCTCTGTTATTATCATCAAATATTCAACTACTTATCGAACCAGCCTGAATATGTAACTATAATGAAAATACCGACGTTTCCATGACTAACTTGGCTTAAATTAACGTTGCTGGTGTCGACCTTTAAACTGTTGTTTACATGACGTTGCAGAACACGACTGTTTGTAACGCTATAAACTCTGGAAAAATAAATGCACCGTTGCGCAGCACAGGTTAGTGTAACTCGATCATAATCGCCATGAACCGTTACATTAAATTAAGACCCCCACCAATGTCTCCGTTAGTGTTGGATACATTCGGTAAGTTATCAACTTGTTATATTGAAGTTAAAGCATAAAGTACAGCACTACTACATCGCTTTACAATGCTTAATGATTATTTTAGCAACGAGCTAACTCGCTACTATGGACGAAGAGCCCGGACCACCGTCGCTTTGTTAGCCAACTGACGTTACGCTAGCTAGTAGCTAGCGGGCGAGCTAATCCACAGCTGTCATCGACAACACAAGTAGATTTAGCTGCAAATTTACCGGGGTTAGCTTTCTGTTTGGTAGTAGTATATTTTCAATACATTTTAACCATAATAATTAGTCCAATAGATATTTAACTTGAAGAACTTTCGTTTGTGGCAGCTTGGTAGCGAGCCACAAGTCGATAAATGTGGCTTACCGGTGCACTTCGCAAGTTAGCAATTTGTTTGTTAGCCCTTTCTATCCGCTTTCTGTTAGCCTTGCTACAGCAGCGCGTCTCACAATCTGATCTTGGCGGTGTCTCGCTTTAGAGGTGTCTGATTGGCCAGCATCGACGAGACGAAAGCAGAGCAGTCAAAGTAGTGCATGCCCACAACCTGCATCTCTTGGGACTAGTGGAAACCAACCAGCTCCAAAGATCTATATACCGCCATCTACAGTACAGGAGTATGAGGAGTGCATTTTACTCCATTACCTCTCATTTACTGTGTTTCTCCAACGCTGACACTTCAAGACAGCTTTGACTACTGGTAAGTTTTGGTTGTTCCCAAAATGCAATCATGACACTTTAAAAGTTGGTCAGGGATGACTACATATGAATTAAACTCAAATTACTTCCTGCCTGCACCGAAGGACCACCTTGTTGATTTTGTTGTATGTGCATAGCAATCCAGTTGTGCAGTCAAGATAAAGGTTTAAGTCTGTACCTGCAGCAAAGTAGTCCTACCATAAAGCCACATTTGTCTTCTCAGGCCATAAACAGCAATGACTGAGGACACAAAGGTCATGTCCTTTGTATTGTTTCAGGAATGAAGGAGTTTTAATCACCTTAAAAGGAGTTTACTGTCTACAATTACAAAGAAATTATACATGGTGGAAAACATAACTAATTATGTGAACTATGAAAAATAAAAGTGGATCAGAATGAATTTAAAAAGCACTTTTTTATACCAAAGTGCTTTTGCACAACATGCAGCAAGATGTCATGCAGTCAATGTCTTACAAGTGGACAGGAGGGGGCTGGGATCAAACCAGTAACCCTGTAACTAATTGATGGCATGTTGTAAGAACATTTCACAGACTTCATTTGGTGCTGAGTCAAATATTATTGAGAGACAGTGCTTTCCATTTGGTAGCAGTCATAGTTTACTATAGATGACTTCAGATGTGAGAAGGGAGGCAAAATTTAGTCACAAGCAGTAAATCAGGACATTTCAGATGCAATCTGATGTAATGTGTGAACTGCCATCCATCTCAACTGAATTGCATACAGACAAGATACAAGAAGGTCCGAAGGGTCAAAGGGTCAAAGTTCCATGTTTACAACTGTATACTGTTTAAACATTCCATCACCTATCTGTCTCAGGTCCATCAATCAAACTAAATGATGCCTTTAAGCCATATTCAAATCATAACCTGTTCCCCATGACTGTTTCTACAAAAACCACCACCATTATCTCTGGTTTTCATTACCCCAAGTATGCCAACCCATAGTCAATCTCCCTCTTCCCAACCATTTTATGCTGTCTGTAATTTTTAATGTTGTGTTTTAGTATTTTTGTTTGTATCTTAATCAGCGTAGTTGTAAATTAATTCTAATTACCATAAAATTTGACAGTAAGCACCTGTAAGTGAACCAAGAAATGTCACCCGATAACACACTTGATCAGATATCTGAATACAAACAGAAATTGAGACCAGCACACAAAGTTGTGGCCAGTGTCTAAATGGGTTTTTGTAATGAAGCTGAAGTGCTCAAAAATAATGAAAAAAGAAACTGTGGTCAGTTTTGCTGCAGAAAGACTTTTAATCACATAGAGAAATAATAATGTACACTTTTTCTATCATGAGATGACAGTTGTCTCCCATGATGTCTGCTGAATCTCTGAGAATTGCATTGCATTTAGGAATTTCTTAAAGTATCAAACTCTCAGATTGTTATGGGAACCCCAATTAGGGATTTATTACATGCATGTGTACTTGAAGCAGACGGCATGTTGTCTACATGTGTCTAATTGGAGTGATCAACATGAATCAATTTCTAAAGATATAATGTAGATAGATAATATATAAGATAGACAGTTTTTAATTAATAAAAAGTCAAACATAACTCAATCATCAATCCCTATTCTTTACCAGTATTTTCAAATAGTAGTCCTGCAATAAATCCTACCCTCTGAATTCACATTTTGTTGAAACTGTTTTAGAGAGGTGTTGATCCAGGTTTATGATCATTTTGGAAGCTGTGGTTTGCAGTGTTGTTAAATTGTATTGTGTTACACTGAAGTGTTTCTACCCTCTACACCTCCAGTTGTAGTTCAACAACGCCACAACATCCTACTCTTTAGAATTGGTGCAGAGTCCATGAATGACTTGGTATGAACAACAGTAGTTTTCCATCAACTGCATTGTAACATTAACTTACATGTGATGTAATTAACTTGCTGTGAATGTGATTGTACCAGCATGAAGTGAGTGTAGTTGACCCAGGCTGCCATTCAAGCCTTCCTCTCACTGTGAAACCAAGAAGAAAAAAGAAAAAGGAAGGCTGACATCTACTGATACTCTATCAGCTGCAGTGCTGTGTGTGTTATTCACACTTATTGATGGGTGGATTCATTTTTACATGAGATAAAACTCAGCTGAGCCTCCTGTCAGTCCAACAGACAGTCATATTTTATTCATGCTATAAGACAAGACTTTTTTTCACATATGGGGACTTAAATTCCTCATTGTGGACTAAGTACTATGTAACAATGAAAACACATAAGATGAAAGACACATTTTTGCTTTAAATATTTTTAGAGCTAGTTAGAAAGAACACCTAGCTGCTCTTATTGGCTGGACCCATATTACATGTCTCTCTCAAATTCTTTATTGGCATGATCTTTATTACCAAAGCTTGTTGATAACAAAGTTTACAACATAAGGATAATAATTCAGAGTAAGGAGTGAAGGTGGGGTTCTGTTTTATTTTCAACAGTGTTGTCTGCAGTTTTGGGCGATTTCATATGTGTACATGGTATAATAAAGCAGTGTAAAAGTCTCACACACACATACACTAGATTTATCTTTAGTTGACATTTGCCTCCCTTTAATGTCTTCTTGGACTCACACTGGTTTTTACGAACCTTTTAATTGGCTCATCATTAAATGGCTCCTAATAAGTGATTTATTAATTGCAGATGCACATGGTCAAAAATTGGTCACAGTCAAGCCTGTGAATGTACAGTCTCTTGTCTGATACATGTCTATTTTCATTTAGAATTACAAAATTTTGGAATAAAAAGTTAGACATTTCTCCTGTTATCAATATTCTAATATTCTTTAAAATATCAGTATATCTACCATCTACCATCTGTCTACTTACAAAAACAGACAGTATCCAGTTTATTCCATACACCTAGATAAACTAATGTAGTCTAATACAATAGTCCTGCAATAAAACCTACCTTCTTAGTTATAATGTTCAGTTTTTGTTGAGGATGTTGATTCAAATTTATGGTTATTTTGAAGGCTGTTGTTTGTGGTGTTGCTGAATTATACTGTGTTACACTGAGGGATATTTCTAATATTTAGTCTACCCTTATAGATTTACACCTGCAAACACATTTCAATGGCTATTAATTACAAATAAGGCTAATGACAACAGAGTAACTACTGCAAACCTCATCTTTCTACTGAAACCTTTAATAGCTGTTCGACTACTTTCGCGCATGCGCACAATGAGCGGCAGTCGGGCTACCAAACTGGTCAAACAGCGGGTGTAAAAATGGTAGGTAACCAAAATAAACACAAACCCAGGCATTGGCTTTCGTGCCACCAAGGCTTACCTTCAATACTAGTGTCGTATTATTAAAGTACATACCGTGTCGTGTTTTGGCAAGCCTACAATGGTCAGTTACTTGTGTTCGCTGCTATTACAGGGAAGGTCAGTTGATATTTTGAGAGCAGCTAGCTAGCTACACGTCCCTTTTTGGCAGTCTGGTAACTTCGGCTGTGAGCAGGTCAGCCTTTGAACCTCAAACACAGACACACACAGGGTCGTTTAAGTGAAATCCTGACATATCCACTACCACACTTGACAGTCTGATCCTGTGGTATTATCCCCACCGTAAATGTCAGTGATACATTCCGGCTAACTTAGCTAACGTTAGCTAGTAGAAGTTACTAGCTGGTGGTATGTAGACAATGCTAACCTTACGTTACCCATTTGGTGACACAGTAATCCGTGCTGTTGTCACTACATACGTTTGACTTCATGTGGTCCTTATTAACAGAAATCAGTAACAGTTGGAGAAATCATTAGCAGCTCGGTGAACTCACTGTTTTAGTCTCCGGTTTCAGGAAATGCTGCTCTTCAGTGAAGTGCAAGTGCTCAGATACTGCAGCTGCTGTGAGGAGATGGCATGGTGATTTTCGACAGATTTGGGGGGTATTTCAGAATAATACCGAATAGGACTGGGATATTAGACAGTTTCTATTATCAGTTCTTCTATTGTGTTTAATTTGGTTAACTGTTTGAACTCTAAAAATAGAAAATAGTCAAAAATGCACATCACAGTTTCCTAGAGCCGTTATCAGAATTGTCGCTGATTAATCAGCTAGTTCTGCAACAAACTGAGACAGACAGACAATTATTTTCTTAATTAATTAATCAGTTGTTTTGTCTGAAATTAATTAAAAATGCCAGTAATGGTTTCCCATAGCCCAATGTGACAACTACAGTTGTATCGTTTTGTCTCTCCAACAGTTCTAAACTCCAAAATATTCAGGTTGCTGTGATATAAAACAGAGATAAACATTAACTCTGCACATCTGAGAAGCTGGAAACACTAAATGTTTTGCTCTTTTAGTTAGTAGTTTGAGCTCTTTTAGCTCTGCAGTTACTGAGTCTTTTTCTGAGGCCCATCTAATCAGCAAATTGTTTCAGCTGTACAATGGACTAATTGAATAATCAACTAATCATAACATTGATATAATGTTAGGAAACCAGATGTCATCTGGTATTTGGTTTAAAGTACAACAATGACTTGAAAGCGTAAGTTTTTAAATTAGCGGCCTTTAATGGATATGTTCCAATTTAATGATACAGTACTCTGAATTTACTTGACTGACTCTTGCCCAGTGAAATGTGCACCGAATGACTCCTCCTGATTGCATTCATAACTGATTTCTTATAAATGTTTTAATGTGCATGTATATTATGAAAGTGCATATTTCCATGCCACAAAATATCTTCACAAAATCACTGACAATGTTTTGTCATTTGATTTTTTTTTTTTTTTCCTTTTTTAATATTGCTGAGTATTTCTGGCAGGGAGCTTGTGTTACACTCCAGACTTGTTGCACCTCTAGGTCCTGGTGATGGCATCCCATTTCCCTACTCATGTTACTTCTATGACTGTAGTTATCTGAGGGGCCCTCCGGGGTACAGCATGTGCTTTGAGAATCCACAACATCTCCCTTCAGAAAAGCCCATGTTGCTTTTGGACAGGACATATAATTACCACTGCAGGGTCTTGGCTCACCTCCTATGCTGTGTGTTTGTCGGTGTGACAGACTAACCTTTTAGACATGTGTCAGAGTGTTTCTGAGTGTCTCCCAGTCTTTCCTGTCCTTGTCACTGTTGCCTGAATGCTTGAAGATGTGTGTGTATCGTTGTGTGTTTTTGTCTGTGTCTCTCTCTGTGTTTGTGTGTTGTTGTCTGTACTCCCTGGTCTGATCGCACCAGTGTCTGACAGCCCCTGTCCTGTACTTACACAGCATAAGCTGAAGTCTTCGCAGAGGGACAAGGTACGGCAGTTCATGTCCTTTACCCAAGCTGGGGAGAAGACAGCTGTGTACTGCCTCACACAGAATGACTGGAAACTAGAAGTTGCTACTGACAACTACTTTCAGAACCCAGATCTTTACTGTAAGGAATCCATGAAAACCTCAGTAGACCGGAAGAAGCTGGAGCAGCTCTACAATCGCTACAAAGGTAATTGGGATCACTTAACAGTTTTAACTGTAACATTGTTTTATGTTACAGTGTTTTACACTGTAACATAAAGTAAATGTTTTATGTTACAGTGTTTTACACTGTAACATAAAACATTTCCTAGAATAGAGTTGTTCCAAAAAGGACTGTATTCTTTAAAAGTTATAGACAGTACATGTTTGCAAAAAAATGTGAGTGTTATTCATATATTTTTTCCTGATAGATCCCCAGGATGAGAATAAGATTGGTATCGATGGGATTCAGCAGTTTTGTGATGACCTCTCACTGGATCCAGCTAGCATCACTGTGCTGGTTGTTGCATGGAAGTTTCGTGCTGCCACTCAGTGCGAATTCACCAAGAAGGAATTTTTGGATGGAATGACCGAGCTAGGGTGAGTGTTGACATCAACAGCGTGTGACATGCTACGAAGTGGGACATAAACAGTGTCTGAAGTATCTTTGCATGGTCGATGTCATAGTGTAGCTCCCGAGAGGAAAGGCTGTCTCTATATATAGACTCACTGAAGCACAGCTTGAGTATTCTGTGTCTTCATGGAATGACTCAATGAAAGAGCTGCAGTGTTTTGACTTTTGAGGTTCATATGTCAAAGTTAATTTCAGCCAATTTGTCATCAGCATCGACACCGGCATGTTGCAACTTGTTGGGTTGTCCATGAGTGATCATTTAGTTTGTTTATTTGTTGCTTCATTTGTCTCTTTTTCTAGGTGTGACAGCCCAGAAAAACTGAAGGCCCTTTTGCCAAGATTAGAGCAAGAGCTAAAAGATAGTGGGAAGTTCAAGGACTTCTACCAGTTCACCTTTAACTTTGCCAAAAATCCTGGACAGAAGGGTCTAGGTAAGCAGAGTGACAATAATAACAACAACAAGCTCAGTTATATTTCTGATTGAAACAAGTGTTCTTCTTTGTGTCTGTGTGCAGACTTGGAGATGGCTGTAGCCTACTGGAACCTGGTTCTTTCAGGGCGATTTAAGTTCCTCGATCTTTGGAATAGATTCCTTTTGGTGAGTCAAAAAAGTGAAACTATGGATGCACAGATCGAATATATTCAATTCGTATTGGCAACAGTACTTGCCATTATCATTACATACAGTTTCATTGTCACTGTCAATAAATAAAACAGTCTTTCTGATATTAGTTACATTCACTGATTCATGGCAGACACAAATTTTAAATTTGAGGAAAATGAGAGCGCTGGTTTCGGATTGATACTCAGAATCACCCAATACCCTGAGCTGAGATAACTGTATTGGTATCAAGAGAGAAAAGCGTGGATGATCTTGGTTATAGAGATAGAAAAAATCTGCTCACCAGCACTTGTTCATTATAGGAACACCATAAACGATCCATCCCAAAGGACACATGGAACCTATTGTTGGACTTCGGTAACATGATTGCAGATGACATGTCAAACTATGATGAAGAAGGTACGTTTAAACAAAATGGATAAAAAAATTCCTTCAGATTAATCCTTGGTGCATCACTATGACACTAATGATATCTTGGTATTTCTTTCCCAGGAGCATGGCCAGTCCTTATAGATGATTTTGTGGAATTCGCTCGACCAATTGTAACAGGATCAAAACGTAAAACTCTCTAAATCCAATCACAACTCTGGAAAGCCAGAACGTTGTTTCTTTTACAGTGACTTCATAGTTTTTTTTAAGACTTGTACAAAAAAGTGAAAATTGTAGGCTTCAGAGGGAAAACAGAAGCACTTGAAACTGTCAGGAAACCACCTTTCAGGGAGCTGAGTAAAAACTATGAGAACATCTGGCCACATTTTTTGTCCTCGTGAGACTGAGGCGTCATATGGACATTGCCAGATTCACCTCTGTCTCTCCTGCTGGATTCTCAGTATCCTGGACACCCCTCTGCTCTGCTCCAGGAGGAGCACTACCTATCAGGCCACAGCCCTGTAAGTGGGGATGGACACAGCACTGAGAGGAGGGTCGCTGGCTGTGTGTACTCTAATGGACTGGAGAGGAGAAAGCAGTGTGTTTTAAGATACTTCCTAGTCAGCATTGTTTTGTTATATGAAGCTCTGAGTGACTGTGCAAAGTTCCCATGTCTTACTCTAACTTCGGGACATAGTGCTCACTACACCAGCACCAACAGAACTGTTGCAGTTTTTACTGTACATACTGTATCTATTGGGACAGTTTACAAAGAGAGCTATATGAAGAATAATATAAATATGTTGAATTTATAAATGCAAAAGATGATTTCTTTTATGTACAGGAAATGCTAAGATCTCTAATGGGATGCCTCAATATTGTGGATGATATGCTGTTGGTTTAAATGTTAGGTGGATCTGTCAAGTCATGGAATTGTGAGCTTCTCATTGAAAGCATGTTAAATACATTTTACTTCACTTCGGGCTGGTTTCACAAATAAATTTTCACTGAAGTAAAGGCAGTGCTTTAATTTAGATAATTGATATTGGTTTGTGGTATTCATTTGTCTGGATAATTGCAGTTGGGAGTGGGTCTTGAATCCTAAATGTAATCAGTCCTATCCACAGTACCAGGATTTTGCTTTCAAAGATAATTTCTTTCAAACTGTTGAGGAAAGGGTTTTTTTTATCAGTTAATCCCTCAGAGCAGTTTGTTCAGCAGCAGTTAATAGAAATTTAAAGTTATGACATTACAGGCCCTTAGGATTGCATGGCACATATCTGTATGTTATGGCAGTGCGAAGCCCTTTGTTCAGAGGCCAGGACACTAAAGAGGGCAACAACAGGACAACAAAGTAAGCCTTAAGAAAAAATACCTGTCTGTTCAATATTTATGTTTCTGTTCAAGCCCATCTGTTCAGTGTTACTGAAGGTAGTGAAAATTAGAATATATTGTTGATACATCATGTAAGTAGCCTAAGTATATTGTTCATTTAAGAAAGATGAATAAAGCATGAGTTTTTCCATAATCATACATGTATTTAACTCCTTTGTTGCTGAGAAGATAGATAATGGACACGCTCTATATCACATTTATATAGTACAGCTGATTAGACATGAGTGTATTTCAAAAAGCAGAAGTAGAATGATGGCAAGACAACTGTGACAAATACTATGTTAACTTTTTCACAGACGACATTTTGACATGACAGTATGAAAAGCAGATGTAAATAATAAAATGAATGATGGCTGAATTCCATTTAGCTGAATTTGGACCGAATTCTCAGAAATCTGTATCTGACCAGAACCGAGGATGGTCAGGATCATGAGCTAATTACACTTGTTATGGTGTGTTTTTATTGATTTTTTGTTTACGACTTTACAATGTAGTAGATCAATGATGTTGGATGTTGATGAGCTGATCAGGATTTCTATATTGGTTGTGCAGTCATAAAGTTGAATATTTATGGTTTTTATTCAAGCAATATAATAGCCACTGTTAAAATAGTTTTTTTTTTCAAATATGATTTTTACTTGTCTTTCTATGTAAGAGTATGCATGAGAACAATGTCTTACCTGGAAAAGAGGGAGAAAGAGTGGGCTGTAGACTGCTGGGGCATTCTTCTATTGTCTGAGGAGGACTTTGGATTCTTCAATTACCCATATAAGGTGAAAAAATGAAACCTGCATTAACCCTTTTTACTCATCTTCCCACAGTGATGTTCAGGTGTGTCTCATTGTTGGATGTGGTTACAGGTGCAACAGAGCCTGACCACACCCATCAGTGCTGGGTGTGGCTAAGAGGTGCAACAGGTTGAAACTTTCAGCCAGAGAGGGTAGTAAAACACTGCTTTTCAGGCAGCTGCCAAGATACTCTTAAAGTTGATATGATGAACTTTTTAGCCAACAGTTGCTTATTTACACATCGAGCTGACGCAAAGCGATTTTATAATTCATTTGTAGTCGTAGTTCTGGCCACCTGATGAATTCAAGTCCAATGTCCAAAATGATAAAGTTGAGGGACAGAAAACCAACATAATGACCTGAAAGACGCTAAAAAAGCTGAGGTTGGAGATAATTATCTGTGGGGTCGTAACTATAAGCGGCACCTTTCATATACAAGTAGTTGTCATCCATTGTTGATATAGAAACATTAATTACAGCCACTTAAATAAATTTAAACAAAAATAAGAAAAATCTTTGTCCATGATGATAATATTCCAGGTAGCATGGAGACATCTTGGGCCAGGTAGGGAGAAGAAATTTAGAGAAAATATGTTTAAATAGTCGGTAGTTAAATATTTATGGGGGGAAGGGGTTGCAGTGGGGGAATTTTGACTCATTAGAAGTATTTCTAAAATCCTGGTTCTAGGAAATAATATTTTATAATAATATTAATAAAATGTTGAAATTACTGTTGTTGATGTTACTAATTACATTATTACCATCACTATCGCTTCTACTTCCAGCACTTTCTCTATTCACCATGAGAAACTGTGATATGCAAGAGGACATGAGCAAACATTACTGTTTCTCTTCCTCCAATTGTTTTGCATGCAAATAAAGCACGCAGCAGGGTGTTTGTTAAACTGGCCCCTCCTCTCAGTGAGTGCTGTAAGGTGAGACATTTCTAACCCAGATCACCTTGTTATTTACCTTGACAGCAGTTATTTTCCAAGTGATAGAAATGAAATAACCTCCGCGGTGCTAGTTGTTCATAACCTTAGTGGACTATTGTACCTGCAGCACGTGACACAAAACGGAGAGCAAAATGTCAGGAAATGCTGCTCAGCCTCTAACATGTAATAATGGCAGTGAAAGGTAAGCCTCATGTTGATGTGGTATTCTTTCTTTTTGAGTTTTTCGATGGTTAATGGATGCGTGTATATTCTTGTTGCTTCCGTCTCGGCTATATCAGTTATTTACATTACTTTCTTTCCTCATCAATTTACTGTATTTTTAGGCCTACTTTTTTTTTTGCTTAAGAAACTTGTAAAGTTGTGACAAGGCTTATCAGAAATATAATAGCTTAGTGTAATTTTGTGGAAAAACATGAACTTTTCTTGGTTATTTTTGAGCTTGAATTTTGCTCCTAGCTCCTAATCCCACTTGAAAGTAATTTAAAACTCACCCAACATCCAGCAAGGGCATTTGATCTCCCTGCTACAGAAACCCTACCCGGTGGAGGCTGTTGTAGTGTTTGTCATCTGGGGATAGAAAAGAGAATGAAGGGTGGGAAGGAAAGTGACCCCGGTGTCAGTTCTTTCTTAACAGTATTTATCAGCTTTGTACATTCATATGTGCACGGTACTGGACTGTGTGGATTTGCCCCTGCAGGATTGACCCATATGGCTTTGAGAGACATCATGATTTTGAATCCTACAAGGAGATGATGAATGAGTATGTAGCTGTCCTCAACAGAAGATCTATCAGATGGTCCAAGCTCCTTCAGGAGAGACCTCATGTAGAGAAGAATTTAACAGGTAAAAGAAGCACACACACCGCTGTCTTGTTTTGTTGCCCTCTGGCGCTTTGAGGTTGTGTGGTGTAATTATAAAATCTGTTTTGAAAGTGAAGCGGTATGTGCGTAAAGGTGTGCCTAATGAGCACCGTGCCAGGATCTGGATGGCAGCAAGTGGTGCCCAGGAACAACTGGAGAGTAACCCAGGTTATTACCGGTCCCTACTGACCATGGAGCATGACACCAAGCTGAAGGAAACTATTCATACAGGTGAGACTAAACCGTCTTTCGACCCTTCCTATGATCCATTTTCCCCGCTCATCAAAAAACCATGCACACCTCAACTTCTAGTAACGCTTAAGTCAGATTAAATGAGTAAATATAATGAATCTAGTGAATTTTCATGGCAGATATGCACAGGACTTTTCCTGACAACGTCCTCTTCAAGAGCAAAGCTGAGCCAAGTCTGCAGAGGGCTCTGTACAATGTGCTGCTGGCCTACGGACACCATAATAAGGCAGTGGGGTACTGTCAGGTGAGACAAGCACTGTCACAGACAAGAGTTGTCTCGCCCATCTCATAACATAACATCTGTTTACCTAATGAAGAGGACTGGCCACATCCTTATTCATTGTAATTCATGTGTAGCATTTCCTCCAAATGTAGCTCTCGCAGATTTCTGTGGTACATTCATTGATCCCTGTTAGCTCCCTGTGCAGTAAATTTAATTTAATTAAAGTCAAAGTCATGTTTTCATGTATACTGTAGTCACAGCTTTTAGCTCAAGATACAGCTTGAGAACTTCCACCTTGGATCAAACACAGTGTGAATAGTTGCTGTGACAGGTATACAAGTAACTGTCAAGTCTTCACAACTATTTTGACGACCCCGACAAATGTTCATTCAAACAAAAAATTTGCTGAATGTGTGATTTGGTCTGTAAAATCAGTGACTTGAGGGCTTACTCACAGTTACATTATGTCTGTTTCTGTTTATTCCAGGGCATGAACTTCATTGCAGGCTACCTCATCATCATCACCAAAGATGAAGAGAAATCCTTCTGGCTCATGGATGCATTGTTGGGCCGAATACTCCCAGGTGGAGTGTTTTTTTTTTATTCCTCACACACACAATTAACGCCCCTGCACACCTCCACAGGTGTTCTCAGTGACTCAGAGGTTTGCTCAGGTTGAAGGCTGAATACTGGCTGATATACTGTATCTATACAAATGGTAAAGGTGTAAGTTGTCCCACACTCACAGCTGCCACAAAACTAAACAGCAGAGTGAGAGAGATGTTAAGTCAAGGTCAGCCTGCACACACCCATCATGTCCTGAGGAAAGGTCTAATCAGGTAATATAAGTGAAAACACCTGTGTGGGTGAAACAAGGGTGTAAAGGATCGTGTGCTTTACTTTAAGTAAATATACCAGTGAAAAAATTCAAAGAAACAGGAAAATAAAGAATTAAAACACAGACGTATTTATTTATAAGCAACTTAGTACTAAAAATCCATAATATAGTCAGTTAATGTAACAGTCCTCAGTAAGAGAGAAGAAGCAAAGAGTCAGTGTGGGGATGAGTAGCCTATAGAACAGGTGCAAATAAGAAACTTTTTAACGGCCCAACCCCAATGTCCACCCTCACAAACTCCCAGTAACTTTGTTATCAGGGGACACCCAGAAGGATAAAAAATGGCAAACAACGGCCATTAAACACAAGAAATAATAAGATAGAAGAAGAAAGGTTAACAAACAAGCATAAAGGGAACGAACCCTAATGTTAGCATTACAAGAAAAAAAAGGGCATTTGGATTGGGCTAACAACCTTCAACATCTTTTTGGAACAAACCTGAGAGCAATGCAGTACAGAGGTCAAGCCTCCCTGCTACAAAGGTCTGCACATTTTCCTGTTTATTTAAATTAAGATCAGTGATAACATCCAAATGTATGAACCAACAACTGTCCTTTTTTATATTTTGGCAGGTAATTAAGGCAGTAAAATGTTTGTAGTAATGCACATTAATAGTATTGATATTGTAATATAAAAGGCTGAATACTAGTGGAGCCAGGTTTGAGCCTTGAGGCACTCCACATGGAACATTTTTGCATAAATTTAAGATCTGAAACATTTAGTTCTGATCTAAGAGATGTATTTGAATAGCCAACCAACAAGTGTCACTGCTGCAAACAATGTGAGGTCATCTGAACATGGTATATTGTAGACTACTACAGCCCAGCCATGTTGGGGCTGAAGACTGACCAGGAGGTTCTTGGGGAGCTGGTGAAGGCTAAAGCCCCTGCAGTAGGACAACTCATGGCCCAGTATCCTGGCATATGGACCCTGGTTGTGTCACGCTGGTTTATCTGCCTCTACATTGACATACTCCCAATCGAGGTAAGGAAAAGGGGAAAAGTTTAATGGTATGGACAAATGAGGATTTCAAAGTGAAGTTGGAGCACATCATTTTACAGACATCCTCCTGGTTTTCTTGTACTTGCAGACAGTTCTGCGGATCTGGGATTGTCTTTTCTACGAAGGCTCCAAGCTTCTTTTCCGTGTTGCTCTGACGCTCATCATTCACCATCAGCCGGAGATCTTGAGAGCTCGCTCTTTGCCAGATGTGTGCGAGTGTTTCAAACAGATCGCCTGTGGAGCTTTCACTCTGGACTGCCACACCTTCATGCAGGTGAGACAAGCAAAGACAGTCAGAGAAACAAATGAGGCTGTTGTAACATAGGCAAATTTCTTCCCCTAAAAATGGTGGATTTCTTTGATTACTTGCTCAACAATTATTCCAGTTGTTTACATAAAGCATAGTGATTGTGTGAGTTATTTGGGGAAATTAAAGGCTCCATGTAATCATCTTCAATCCTCATCCATTTGTTGTCTCTCAAATTATTTTTTCTACAGAAAATCTTCACAGAGCCTGGGAGTCTCTCTATGTCAACTATTGATAAACTGAGAGAGAAATGCAGACAACAAATCCTGGAGGAAGAATCTAAACAGCCATAAGAGTTTTGGATCCTCCCCATTTGCTATCAGGAACTTTGTACAATTACTAAATGGTGGCTTTTGATATATTAACCTCTAATCTAGTGGACTGGAAATATGAAGGATGTGCTGAAGCTTCTCAACTGATTGAAAATCTTTGGACCTTGTCTTTTGCTGAGGGCCTCTGAATAGTTTTGCTGCTATAGATATTTCAAGATCATCGCTTTGTGTAAAGTATTTAAATTTGTCATAGAACTGATAGTATTTGTTTTATGACTGTGGAGGATAACTGTTGTAGTGTACTATGGAAGAAGGGAGTTAATGTCTTTTGCACAGGAACACAACATAAATAATTACCCTAATCCGTTTCCTGATTTAACTGTTTAACTGGCCTCAAAAATGCCTCTGCCAAACAAATGTTAGAAGAAGTGGTCATTTTAGCGTTACATGAGCATCTAAAATAACAGGTTATTCACAGGCTCCAAACCTGTGGCTGTATATTCTTGTTAGAAATCTCCTAGTACTGTTAAGGTACAGAAAGATCAACTGAACTGTGCAATGTCTGTCACAGAAAATCAACCTGTTGGTTTCTGAGCTCTGTTGTCCCAGTTGGAAATGAATAATAATTTACTATAAGTGAGAATTGGAGATCTGTTCAAGAGGCAGCTACCTTTCTAAAACCTAGAACCACCTCAAATCGACAGGTGTAGGTTTAGTACTTTTGAATGGTGGGGGCAGTCGGGGGTGCATTTGTAAGATGAGTAAAAATGTTTTCAGACTCAAATTCAAATAGCTGTTATTTGTAACTCCAACTAACCAACAGCCCTGGACAGATTATGACACAATGGGCCCTCGGACACAAGCATGTAAAGCCTGCGCACCCTCATACAAAGGTGCAAAGAGACAAAAACCACTACAAAAAACATGGCCACGTAGGCGTTTTGTGTCTCTTTTTAGCATATGATCAATAACAAACATACAGAGGCTCTGGTCCAGGGGCCCCAGGCCTGTACCCAGTCAGCCCGCTCAGTAATCTATCCAAGATACTAATAACTCAACTACCTATGACTTTCTGAGTAGGTAGGGGCACAGGAAGATAACCTTTGGGCCCACCCATGCAAATCAGGCCTTTTCCTAGTTTTATTCTGATAATTTTGTGAACATGCTTCAGGTAACAGCCTCCAAGGTCTGTTGTAACTGTCAAACATCATGTTTGTCGAACCCACCCGGCAATTAAAGTCAGATACCCTAGACCAACGAGAAACAGGTTTGACAGCTGATTAACTGTATAAAGGCAAAACAAAAAGTCAAACAGTCTTGTTCGCTCTCTTTTATTGACCTCTCCTTTAGAAAACAGTTCAAACAAAACCATTAAAACCTTATTAAATCACTACATGGATATTTAGATGTGGGAGAAAAAAACAAACATAAAAAAACATAAATAACTGTACTTTATCCTATTACATCAAACAATAGATATTAATGGTAATAACAGTACATGAAGGCTATGTGAGACACAATGAAAATGTCCCATACATGGCAGCACACAGTGTCAGTGAGTGAGGGAGTACCTCTGTGAATATTGGCTTTACTTAAATCCCATCCATGTGACAGCTGGGAAGGCACTGATGAACCAGACCAGAGCATTTTGGCCATTTTAATCATTACATGGGGCTGTTCCTCAGGACTTTAGTGCAACTTCTTTCCCTTCAGCATCCAAAATCCCAAGTGGGCCCAAATTCAGGAAAAAAACAAACAAACAGAACCACCCAGTGGACTTTACCAAAGCAACATTATTAGGTTCTTACAGTGGTGTCCTGAGCTTTTTCATGCAATAAGCCAACAGTACTTTTACTAGATTGTTTAAGCAAATCCTGGCTTGTGTCTATTTTTGTAACAGCAGAATCCAAAATAGTGTATAGAGTATATCATCATTATGGGAAATATACTTACTTTGTTTTTAGATTAGTGTTAGATGAGATGATCCAAGCCATTTCTAAGTCTGTACAGTGAATATGAAGCTGCAGCCAAAAGATGGTTAGTTTAGCTTAGCATGAAAACTGGAAGCATGGATAGAAAGCAAACCTGGCTCTGTCCAAATGTAACAAAATCCTCCTACCAGCACACCTCTAAAGCTCACAATTAACATGTTGTATCTTGTTTGATCTGCAAAAAAACCAAAAGGGTAAAGCTGGTAAGTTGAGGTTTTACAGTGGGTTATGAGCCTGGACAGGCATGTTCACTTCTTGGAGTTTCCTCTAGAAGTTGCAGCTCCCAGCCAAGAAATAGTCTTGGCTTGAATCGACAACCACAACTCGTCTATTTTACTCCTCAGTTTTTGTACAAGTCTTTATACTAAGCCAAGTTAAACCTTCTTCTTGCTGTAGCATGATATCTAGCAGATATAACAGTGATGTTGATCTCATCTAATTCTTGGCAAGAACGCAAATGAGCTAATTTCCCATAATGATAAACTACTACTTTAAGTGAAATGAAAAAGAAAAAAAACCTAAAAATGCCTCCGATCCTACAAAGCTGACAGCTGCATCTACAGTCTCCATACAAAATGTGTAAAGTACATCTGAGAAGGAAAGACTGGCATTTCATCACTAATCTCAATGGACAAAAATAAATTCCTACATGTAAAAGCAAAAACTAAGCAGTCTTCCTACGTGTCCTTTCCAGGATTAGGTTACTGTATTTTTAGTATGTTCACTAAAATCTGCATACCTGGTCTAAATGTAGAGTTGCAATGAAAAATGTCAGAGCTTTACTGTATGAAGTAGATTAAGTTAAACAGCCAGAAATATTCCCTTTATAATAATAAACCTCATTTAGGGCGAGACCACTAAAAATGGTCATCCAAAAACAGATAAGAAAAGCTACAGTAGCAATTCCCTCAAATCCCACAATCCCTCAAAATTCCTTTCACAGAAATCATAAATAGTACAATACAAGTTTAGGACTATCATGGACCCTCTGATCAACATCCCCTGCTTTACATGGTACCTGTAAAGAGTTTTTCCTCCATTCACCACAATCTCCAAACAATGAAAGAGTTCAGAAAAGCGCAAATCGACCTCACAAAGTGATCATGACTAGTGTTATTTGTAAGGGCAAAGAACAGCACAGAGACAGATGAAGGATGGAGGGATAGAGGGGCACAAGGTAGAGTGTTAAGTCTCGTAAAACAGTGGTTAATATCATGGGTATCGCGCTCTGGCCCCGGGGGACATGAGAGTGAAGAGCCGCCTCAGATGGTTTGATAGCCAGCGTGGCTCCTCTTCCTGCCAATCAGGTAGGCCAAGAGCACAATCAGGACAAGACCCGCTAAAGCTGCTCCAACTATGATGGGGATCAACATGTCATCTTCATCCAACTGGCATTCCTCAGCTGCGTGAGTGAGACATGTGAAGACGGACAAATTAGAGCAAGTGGATCCATTTTCTCACACTTTATTTGACCATAACAAAATCAAGTGTTTACCTGCTCCAAACTGATTTCCTGTCAAACCAAAGGGCTGCACCTGCACTTGGAAGGTGTTGATGGACAAATTCTGGGTCACATTCAGGGTTTGCTCCTCTCGGCACATGTACGAGTATCCCAGGGTGCCCCGCAGGTAGTCCAGACTGTTGTTGCGGGCTGAGACGGCGTCTATGACAAAGGACAGAACAGTGAGTGAAAAGACAGGAGAGCCTGAGTGCGCCAATCAAATGTTAATAATTTGATTTAAATCCTTCTTGTAAAATACTCCCTACCCACATAATCCAGACTTCCTGGAAATATATTACATTGTGGAAGACACACATTTCCAATACTCTGTGATTTAAAAAAAAAAAAAAAAAAAGACCAGGGGTTTTCTGGATTCCCTGCCACCTTAACCAAAAGCATAATGATGTCTATTTCAAAAGTGCTGCATCAAATGTGTCACTCCCAATGGCAACTGTTGCAACAGCCGCATTACACTTGAGTGGTACTAAGTTAAAAGCACAGCAGAACAATAGTATAACTAATGAGCTGTTGAAAGGCATTGTTGATTAAGACGCTTTAAATTTTTTAAAAGGGAAAATGTAGAAAGACAGAAAACACAGGACAACTGCTGCAAGATGTAGAGACTCGTGATGGAGAGAAGAGTCAGAGCACCAGAGGAAAAAACATTTAACTGTCTTTGTGAATCTCTTGTTGTCGTCTTTTTCAGAACGACAATCACTCATATCCATTTAATCCTTTTCTTGGTGTCTTAGATTTGAGTGCGCCTCATTGCCAACAAGAATTATTCAATTGCATTTTAAATGTGAAATATATAAGAAAATACAAGTCAGCATAAACAATTGCATCCCCATGGCCTAGTGGATTAGTAAAGAGCAACATGCAATAACGACTTCCCCAGTTTAAAGGAACCTTTGTGTTTAAAATGGAGCAATTTCCTTCATGAAAATTCATCTGGAAGTCAATAATAAATTCAACACAACCAGATGAACCAACTAAACTAAGTTCCACAACTTAATCTCTATTTTTCCTATAATTAGTACCAAACTAGGAACTTTTCAAGAGATTGTTAGGAAATAACAGCACCTGTACAATAAAGCATTACTGAATTTCCATGTGTTTTATTTATTGCTTGCCTTCCTTGTAAACTGAGCCCCTTTACTGTGGAAATACCAATAGGTATATGGTGCCTCACATCTGTTTAGGATCTAGTGCACATATAAAATTATGCTCCTATTAGTTCAAGTCACAGCTGTGGTGCTACCTTTCATTCATTCAGTTCCCTGAATGAAAAAAATGAACACTAAATCAAGATCACAGGGTAGATTGGAAACATGCTTATTATTCTGATACAAGGTAGTTTGCATGAACACTGGAAGGTAAAGTGTACTCACCCTTCATGTCTGGCCAGGCTGCTGACAGAAACACTTCACTCAAGTGGTACTTATTGGAGGTAGTATTCTGGAGAAATAAGTAACAGTAAAGAATTTCCTCAAGCTCTAGCTGCCATCTAGTGGCTGTTTCGGGAAGTATAAGATGAAAAGAACAGGGCAGTGATGTACAAAGCGGTGAACACAGATGAAGTAACCTACCAGGGTGAAAGATAAGGTGAGGTTGGTTTTCTCTGCATCCGTTGTGAGCCGCAGGGAGGCGCTGTCTGAGTCACATGATCCAGAGCTCTTTGTCATATTGGGCTGAAGGTTCACAACATCCTGCACAGTCTGTAAATAAACGATGCATCATTTAGCATTTAAAACCTGCGAATATGGCTATATTTGTAGCATTCAGACAATGGTTTAGTGTATTTAAGTACCTTATTCTGGGACAAAGAGCTGAAGGTGATGTTGAGCTGGAGGCCCATGGATGCCAGCAAACAGGCAGTACCATTAGCACTGGCGACCACATAGTTTCCCCTTTCGGGTCTGCCAGGGTCTTTGTGCGGTGGAGCAGTAGTTGGGGCAGTTGTGGGTGGGGCAACAGCAGCAAAACCCTGGTGCAGAGCAGCAGCTGCAAAAGGTATTCCGTTATTAGTCAAGTGCAACATAAATGTAAGGTGTTCTAAATTAAATACATATGAAATCATGAAATAAATAAATATATGACAAAATACAGAACATATAAACACTCAGCTTCCTCAAAGTTCTGAAATGTTCTTTAATCTATATATCTATCTATAAGGCAGATAATTAAATGTAATAGGACTTTACAGTGAAGTATCTTGTCTCCAGCAGTTAAACTTTAGAAATATTAATAGATTCTGGATTTTTAAATGATAGAGAAGGAGTAGATTTCATTTTAGAAAATACTTGAACTTTTGTATGTAAAAATTATAACATCAGACTCAATACTATTCAGAGAAGAGTATTTCTAAATGTCATAAAAAGGGTTCAGGGGATCTTTAAAATACTCAGCTAAAGTACAGTTACCTCAAAACCTTATTTAAGTAAATAACTTGAGTTTTATGTGTTTGTTACTTTCCACCACTATTAATAGCACGCCTCCATTTTGATTATGGATTATCAAAGAAAGTGACTCCAATATCCTCTACTCTTATTCCTCCACTTCATCCTGGCCCTGGTGTCTTCAATTAAGTTTCTGGCAGGATAAAAGACAGGTGTTGAAAGAGTAAAGCAGCAACACAGCTGCAAGATTTATCCTCCATGATACCTCTGCATCATGGCAGTGAGTTAGCTTCCCAGTCAGTGCTTTCACTTTAGAATTTAAGGGGAAATTTAAGTTAAATCATTGAGCAACTGACTCAGTTTTTATTATCCACTTAATGTTGTGAAAGGATGTTGGACATCCTAGTTAAACCCTATCGCACTTTCTTATTACTGAAACCTTTACTTCATTATGAAGGCCGGAAACACAGAAATGGTGATCATCTAAACCAGGTCAGAATAGGTCTAGATTTAAAAAAAAAACCTATGTCTAGATTTGGCAAATCTGGACTAGATTACCGAGGAGAGTTTTAAAAAACCCTTTAAAACTGAGTTTCCAATTTGAGAACACCCCCCACCCCCCCAGAACTGCACCACATCAGTCTAGATCAAGAACCACAATACTTAGAGAGAGTCAGCTCCAGATTTGTGAAACCTTTAGCCTATTTATGAAAACACAAATTGTAGATTGAAAACCACTGTGGGTTGACTTCTCAAATCTGACCTAGAGAGTTTAAAGCCTGTTTAATCCACAGCTTCAGTTTCGTGTTAACCTTCGTCTTATTTGTGAATACGCAAAAAGGGGCAATTTCACTGCACCTTTCCTTATCAGACCACAGCAGACCAGGTCTAGATTAGAAACCAGTATATCTAGACTTGTCATACCTGGACTGGTTTACTAAGGAGAGTTTAGAGCACAGTTCAAATGTGTGAAACCTGAAGAAAGGGAGCTAACTTCAGCCTCGCTGGCTCATGACTGACTGGACTGTGCATCGTCAGATCCAGACAAGTTAAAACACTTATTGTGCCACACGTTACCGAACCGTAACGTTACATGTGTAGGCCTGACAAGCTACCTACCTGCATTTGTGTGAGGCTGTTACAGTTTAAAGTTACGTTAGCTGTGTTGGTTTAAACATCTTCTTGTTACTAGCCAGGCCATTTGTGACCTTCGGGGTTGGGAGCCGTAGATAACCAACACTCACCTAAAATCAACTGTAACGTTACTCCCAGGCTCCACGACTGGACTCCGCTGATCTGCGTCATGTTTCTCCGGTTTCTCTCCGGTTGCTTCACCGCTGGTCTGGACGAAATCACGGCAGCACAACAACAGACAGGACGCGGTGGGTTAGCTAGTTGAGGGGATGTTGTGCTAGCTGGCTAGGCTAACGTTAGCGTCACAACAACAGCAAGAGAAAATAAAAGTCACGGCTTTGTCCAGATAATAAAGCGCTATTCTTGGTGACAAAACTCCGGTAACGTTTCTGGATACACCGTTCAGCTTTTTTTTAATTAGTATAAGCTAGCAGTGGTGGTAATTTTGCTCGGACTTCAGACTTAATCATCGCCACCAGTGCAAAGACTGACATCAGAATCATGTGACAGACGGTTTAAGAAACACCTAGAAAATCACGTGATTAACAGCAGCTTGTTTATTTCAGTTCGTACAAGAGTTTAAGGATAAATATCACGGTATAATGTAAAATGCAATACAATGTAGGCCTACAATACAAAACAATAGTACAAGTACTTAAGTGCAGTTTCGTTGAGTATTTCCATTTTTGCTGCTTCATACTGCTGTTACACTACGGTTTAGTGGGACTGTTTTTCTCCACTATATTTCCTAACAGCAGTAGTTATTAGTTACTATTTCTATTAAGTTTTCACATTTAAAAAAAATACCTGCTAAGCCGTCAAAAAATACCATTGGTGGAAGAAGTACTCAGATCTTTTACCTAAGTAGAAGTAGCAAGTAAAAGTCCTGCATTCAAATTTTACGTAAAAGCACAAAAGTATTAGCAACAAAATAGATTTAAAAAAAACTGATTTGTGTATCAGAAGTCTTTGCTTTTATTTGTTTTCTCTCCATCAATCATCTCACACCCCCTAAGATTTATCCTGTGACCCTTGAACCTATCCACCTCAATCAGTTACAACAGTAAAATGCCACTTACACATTGATGCATCTGTATTAACAGTATGATGTCATACATGATAACATGGCAGTCAGGGGCCACATTTCCAGAATGATTATTTTTACTGTTGATACTTTAAGTAAAATGTTGCTGATGGTATATCTGTACATTATCTTTAGTAAGGACCTTTGATGTAACTTTGCTATTGCTCTTAGGTAACTATATTTAAAGTTGCAGGGAGGTGTATTTATACTCTCTGTCCATACTGGCTCTGAGGAGACATGATTAAATTGTAAGATGTAGGGAACAAAGTCCATAGTCCTTCTATGCAAAAATAAGCGCAAAAGTTCAGCTGAAGCTAATACAAGGCCTCAGCAGTCAGAGTTAGCCAAATAAAGTGGGCATCTGCCAGGAGTGGACTTAATTATTTGGGGGCCTTTGGAAAACCAGGCACGGGGGCCTCCCTTGTGCCTTGACAACAGGAATATAATCTAAAACAGATGTGGACAGGGAACATGCACGCAGTTGTGATTTCACCAGATTGGATGTCTGTTAACACACATTTGTCGATGCATAGGGTCCACACATATGGATGAATATATTTTGGGCTGTGCACGGAGGGTCCACATGGGCCGTAGCACACATGGGCAAATGACAAAATTCATGTCACATCAACCATCATCAAATTGGGGCTGAATGGCTATGGAAAGCATAATTTGCACTTAATTTTCATCCTTTCCCAAGGATAAGTGAGTGTTTATGTTTGGCGGAAAGTCACAAGTCACATTTATTCAAGTCGTGTATTTAAGTCCAGTTTTGAGGTACTTTACTTGAGTATGTCCATTTTAAGCCACTTCACCCTTCGCTCTACTCCACTACATTTCAGATGCAGATGTTAGACTTTTTAATCCTCCAAATTTATTAAACAGCTATATTTTTTCAAAGATAAATATTTTACATACTAGATCCAGGATTACTTATGTAAATTAAAATGTTTATCTATCTGTTAGTTGCATGTAGGGTCCAGATGCTTGGGTGTAGGTGTCTAATTAAAGGTCCATAAGGTCAGGCCTCAGAGGCCCTGGAACATTTTTCACACCCATGTCAAAAAGAAGTCTCCTCTTTGTGCAACTTAACCCGGCCTCAGTTATCTGCCTGCTAGTTCAATAGTTCCCTCAAGCGTCACAGATCAGTGTGATTGTGCAACTCGAGCCAGACATGACACTTTGGAAAGATGCAGAGGTCTCATGTCTGTAACCCCTTCCTTTACACAGACACACACTAACATTTAAGTGTCATGAGGCTAACCTATCTTTTGACCTTTTGAACAGTTACAGTTACTTAAACAGGCTGTTACTGGCTAAAAATGTCAAATCAATGTTTATGCAGCCTTCTGATGGACTATTCCTATTTCTCTCATCAACTGTTAAGCAACACGCACATTTTGCACCTCCTCACCTGTACTATCAGATTTTTAACCTAACCTGTGGTTTAGCCTGTTTGCCACATTTTTAGATACATGTCACTGATGCAAATGTCTGTATCTGTCAAGATCCAGAGTTAGAGAGGAACAAAATCACCTCAGTTCAGATTACTTTGCAAAAAGATAGTACACCTATCATTTCATATAATCCAGTACTATAAATTTGACACTTAATGCATTTCCAAGCAGTGTATATACATTTTCTATAACATTCTAGTGTAGTTGGAAGCAGATATAAAGACAATGATTTGTGCACAAACATTGATAATACAGTGCACCATGTATAATGAATGACGAGTCACATCAAAGTATGTTATGAAACATTTATCAAAGATTAGTCATTTGTTTTACAATTGCCACAGACACAAAATTATACTCCTAAAGGATAATTAGCATTTAAAACTGGTTATCCCTCAGTAAGACATGAAGCTATTATTACAATGCTCTTATATATATACACCCAGCTACATTATAGTGTGTTTTAATGTGCTATGAGCTATCTGTTGATTGATTATAGACTGAATGCTAAGAGTTCATCCATGATGTTAAAATAAGCCTGTACAGATTTTGTCAGGTTTTCAGGAAACCAGCTGAACACGACAGTCAGTGAGACTTTCTGTGGGTGGTGAAGGCTGCGCAACACTTTGAAGTTCACACAACCAAGTCTTAGTCCACTGACAGGTAGTCAGTTCAGCCACTTCCTCTGATCAGAGTGAGAGGAGATCGAGGCAACTATAAAACAGCCAGGAGAGAAAGATAGAAAGAAAGAAAACCTTGTTTTTACAGATAGAATAAGAGATAGAGACATGGACAAGCTGATGACAGGTGTGATTCTGCTGTTTGTGCTCCCGGTGCCTGTTTCTTGTATTGGTAAGTGAAACAAATCCATATTTTCCAAAATGAAAAATAAGTTGGCCTGACATGCAGGTATACCTGAGGGAAGAAAGCCGTATCACCTGGTTGGTTTTGTAAATGAGTCAGTGTAAAGAGACTGAGTTAATTTGGTGAAACTCCAATGTGTTTTGTATTTACGCCCTGATTCAGAACGCTTTGGTATCTTCCGTAACACAGGCCTTCACTGTTCAAATGTCTGACAGTCCAAACGGTTGCTGCACTTGACCCTTTTAAATGACTTTAAACGACTTGTTCACTCAGGTTTTGGTGAAATAATATCTCTAGGGAGGACAACATCTGTGTTCCCCTCTGATTTCTGTATCGCAAAAGAGCAAGAGAGTCACAAACAAGATTAGAGGCGATTTCCTTCACACAGCGTCATCATACGGAAAGAGTAGAGCTATTTGTGGTTCTTTTCCAAGGTCAGGAAATTATTAAACATTTTCCATTTAGTGATATAAAAATAGTTGTCCATATATGGAACACAGGAAACAAATTGATAGAGACTTATTAGTGAGCTCACTGTTCATTGATGGCACAAAAATTAAATTAAAATATAAACATAATATTAATCACTCTTAAATCTGACATACTGCAGATGCAATTTGGTTATTTTATTCCTCTTATTCTATTTATAAATAAATGTGACTATAATTCAAAGCAGCGTAAACACGCAGTATAAAATTATATATTTCCTTTCTTTTCTTTGGGTTTAACTGGAGAAGTTTTGAGAGAGTTTTGATGAGCATGAAGTTTGTGAGCATTTGATGTTTCCCAGAGTTTCTCTTTTATGTCGTAGCTAGGGAGAGTTTGTGGAGGGAAAAGTATTTTCAAAGTGATGAAAACCACTTTCAGGTCCTGTCATGTATTTCAGTCAGATTCATCGTGATGAAGGGATTACAAGAAAGCATGCATAAATAAATAATCTCCCTCCAGACACTGTACTGCATCTGAAGACACTAAAGGTGAATCTCCACGGTTCATTTTCTGCAGCAAAATGTGATAAAACATCAAAACTGTCACAGCGGGAAAACACACTGTCATGAGTGAAGAACACTTGATGCCACGGACATACTTTATTTATTACTTGGGTGCACATTTGTAACCTTTTGACCACTGATTGAGTCCAGCCATATTGATCACAGTCTATCTTGCTTCATGAAAAGAAATGTCAAAATGAACGTTCATCATGTCCATGATACGGACATAGCAACAATCCTTAACTATTGATTAGGAAACATGTACAATGTGATCTGTAACGCTGAAGAGAGTGTTCACTAATCATCCAAGGCAAACAAGTGAACAATTTAATTTTAGTTATGTGATGCGTAAAATATACAAATAATGGTGCTGGCTGCACCATCTCATCAAATGAAAATATCCTTAGATGTTTTGTGCATCATTTACCCCAAATTCAGACTGATATTTTGGTAACGTTGGAAACTTCAGGATGTGCAGTAGAATTTAAAATCAAATTTTGAGGGCTTGAAAAATGTTTTGATGCATAGCATGTGCATATACTATGTTAAAAGAATAGTTTGAAATTTTGTGAAATTTTCTTCAACAGTGAGTTAAAACTATTCCTTTCACTTCTAAAGACAAGCATTGTTCAAACCTACAAAACTCAGTTAATTACTTACACACAGAAGAAAGAAAAAACAAGATAAAACAAAATGTATAGGTTAGCTCAAGAATTGCCACAGTAACCATTTGACTAGTAAAACAGTTCAGTTTAACCCTATCAGCAACACATACTTTTCTAAATCCATCCATCTAAGAGCATAAGAAATGTTACATCCTGAAGTAAAGATCAAGATTTTATGATCAACGTTTAGCCTCAGCAACCACCGGCTGCATTCTCACAACATGGCCTTTTTTTCCAGCCACACAGTGAGATAAATGAGTCTCACCAAACCTCAAAGCAGGCAATCGCACTGACAGGAAGAAACTTCACATACTGAGATGCAGATATCTTATTTCCTGTTTCAGAGGTTACTCAATTCTCTCATGTGCTTCACTATGTTACTATTTTCCATCCCATGATGCTAAATGAATATCCTGAGTACCATGTGACAGACACACACACACACACACACACACACACACACACACACACACACACACACACACAACTACATTGTAGTGTGCCATGTCCTTTGCAAGACATTACTTTATATTATTATGTTATTTATGTAATGTATTTTATATTATATAATACAGCATATTACACAATTTTTTAATTTTTTCTATGAATATATTTTATACTGAACTACAAACGGAATATATTTTAGATATTGCATAACATTGCTGCATGTATATTCATATATTTTTATGTATATAGTATTTATTATTTATACTTACATACATTTATACCTATATTCATCTTATACATAGTACATCTACTGTAGAGACCTGCTCCTACAGCAGCTGCACTGTTGGACCTTTTACACATATATCTGCACAAATCATTGATATAGTTTAATGCAATATATTCTTTATTGTTTTTTCTTATTTATTTATTTATTTATTTATTTATTTTACTTACTTTATTTGTGTAATTCAACTTGACAGCAAGTCACAGGAAAATGTATGAAAAGTTAAATATTTACTACTGTTGAAAAATAAGGTAGAACATCAATAATGAAAATTCCCAAAACCTTGAGATCAGTGAAGATACAAAATATTTTCCCAACATCATTGATATTTGTCTGATATTAAATATGTTGTATATGTTATTATTATTTATATATATGTTATTAAAATACTTCAGTCCAAGTGGAACTCCAGCATTCAAAAGCTTTCTGGTAAAAGTTTACTGAAAAATGTCTCTTCAAAAAACTTTAATGGGGCTTTATTATTATATATACAGTAGATATTATGTAATTTAATTCTAAAAATACAATTTTTTAAAAACATTTTTAAACCAATTATTTCAGCAAGGACATGATTGTTTTTGGTTTAAATTTTAAATCAGCTTGTTTAAAAATGTCATAAAATTCAGTGTCTGTAGAAACAATAAAGCTGGTCACTCCACAAAAATCAAATGTTGGAAGAAACTTGAAACAATTTCATTTGCATTGGAAATAGTCTCCCAAACACTCACTTTTGAAAGAAAATTAGCCGTAAATTTAATTATGGAATAATACTCAATTAGCAGATTTTATGCATTTTATGCATTATATTAAATAATAAAAATGAATGATAGTTGAACAGTGTAGTCAAATGTATTGTATTGCATAATGTTTATAGCTTTTGTTAACAATCCCATTTATTTTATTTTTTATTTATGTTTTTCATTTAGAAATAAAACTTGTATTGAGAAGTTAAGTTCATTTTCCGTTTACCACTCAGGCTTCTTGTGCTGTGGTAACATGAATTTCCCTTTTAGGAATGAAGAAAGTCTTATATTATTTTTTTAATCTGAATCTGCAAGCTAAAGCAACTGCTACATACATCCGTCAGATAAAAGTGGTGGACCAAAAACAACATGTCCCTCTGAAATGTACGTAGTTGAGGAATATTTTCACAAAAGAGAAACACTTACGTACCTTAAAGAATGCACTGCAGTATAATAATATAATAACTTTAATACATGCATGCAGCTACCTCTGAGTATTTCTCTCTTTTGTTTGTTCTCTAGAGGGTTTTTTCGCTGAACCGGTCATGTGCTATTTCCTGGATGGGATCCTGATGATTTACTGCATTGTCGCCACTGTGTTCTTCTTCAGAGAAAAGGTGAGTTATTGCACAGGTAGGAAAGTCTTCAGGGTTATCAGAACCCAGATAAAGATAATGAATCAACTGATTGTTTAGTTCACTGACAGATACTTTTTTATTAACAGTTTTAATAACTCAGTTTATGGCTGGCACTAACTAATGATTTTCATGATCAAGTTAAAGTTATTTTCTTGATTAATTAATAAATGGTTGAAAATGTTCTCTATAATTTCCTACAGACCATGAAGTGGACATCTTGAAATTTCATGTATTATGTGACCAACACTCCCAATATATATATATTGATATATATATACATAAAATAATTGCCTGTTAATTGCTCTTCTAGGCACTGCAGCTCTACATTTTAAGTTATTCAACAGGTGAAAATAATATTTGTGTTACAGCTTCTAAGATGTGAATATGAGCTTGAGCTTTCTTTTTACATTATTAAAAATCTATTACCTTTGAGTCTTTTCACTGTTGAGCAGGTAAAGAATGAAATTTGAATCTAATAATCAGAGAGCCCAAGGTGATTGTTTTGTAACTTTCTGTCATTGTTTCAGCTGTTTTAGATTTTATGAGTCTTGTAACCTGCGATGCCAATTTGTCAACACACTTTTTTATCTTATTTCATTTTATCTTATCTTTATATGATCAGACGGTCTCACTGAGATGTCTTTTTCAAGAAAAGAATCATGAAAATATGAAAATAATTAGTTGCAGACTTGTTATTCAATGTATTAATTTAAAAAGCTTGTGAGATTTTTTTTTCTTTGTTTCTGTGTAGTTTTCCTACAAACCATCTGTGGCTGTTGTAGTGTCCGTAAGTCTCCCTTCCCTCAGTATCTTTATTTTTGACAGTAGCTGCTCATGACCACTGTTTCTTGGCTGGTTATTAACTGATATTAAATACGTGTGTGTGAGGACAATTCAGTTCAGTTCATTTTTGTGTATTTCTCCTTAATAAATAGGAAGAAAATGGTGGCATTTACCAGGTGAGGAAGACTGACACCCTCCACCACACACACCAGATAATGTTTAACTCTGCTGCTCAACTGTGTGGTTCTGTATTTATTTATTATTTCATATTTTCCTCTATAGGAGCTTGAGAGACCAAAAGACGCTGATCCTTATGAGGTGCTTGAACCATCAAAAAGAAAGGTAAGTCACTTCTTTTAAAGGTCATTTTCTCACCTCTTCAGGCAAAACTGTCAATCACCATGTCGTCATTTTACTTCTAGAAAAAGGCTGCCAAGAAAAAGAAATCTGAGGTAAGGCGGAATTACATTCCTTTACAATAGCTGTCAAATAAAATGTACTTTTCAAAGCTGTGGGATATGGTCAAAATAAAAGGAAACGAAGAAGTATCACAGCTTTTGGTTATAACGGTGAGAGTTTTATTAGTATTTTCTGAAAATGTGGATGTAGCTCTGATTGTGGTGTCAAAACACATTTATTTTAAAGCAATTCATTCATTCATTTTGTAAAAATTAAGAAATTATGCTAAAATTCTAATAATTTGAATTTGATCTCATTTCCCCATTGACCTTTTTCACAGTACACATTGCGACTTGAGAAAGGCAAGTCGGGGACAGACAGGTTTGACAATGAAGAATCAGTCCAAGGAATGCTGAAGAGTCTTGCATGGGGGGGGGGCGCACACACACACACACACACACATACACACACACACACACACACACACACAATCTGGCAAAGAGTGACTGGAAAGCGGGGGTTTGTGTACTGGGTGGGTGTAATCAGGAGCACCTGTGTGACCAGGTGACTGGAGTTAGCTTGATGAGGTGACAGTGGCTAATGCAGGGAGGTGCAGGAGAACAGGATGAAAGAAAAATGACTGACTGGGAGCAATGACAGGGAGTGCTGAAGTGAAGCAGGTGACCTGAGACGCAGAACTGTGACAGCATGTGTTTCTAATAACATTACTGAAGGCATTGTTTTTATTCAGGTGTCCTGGTAAGTGAAGGTAGTGTGATGTTGAGCCAGCATGAACAATACCAGGACAGTGAAACTGAAGCAGCTGAACACTGACATGTCACAATGTCTGCTGTGAGAAAGGGTCTCTTAAAGGGAAATTTGTACACTAATCCATCACACCCATCTCTAATTAAATGTGTGGTCCAACTCCAAAACGTGTCACTTGATGGCACGAAATTTAAGTTGCCATGCTCTTATTTCGAGTGGAATAGCACAATGTGTTAACCTTTACAAAACCCTGTATAAACATGAGCATCATTGTGCTGTTTTAATTTTTAATGGTTCATTTAGAATTCAAAGTGTGTGTGTATATATATATATATATATATATATATAAATATATTCAAATATATTATTGATTGGGAACATCCTGAGGGATGATAAAATTTTCCCACTGTGTGATCCAGAATGGTTTAATATTGCAGGACGTGTAGACATGTTTCTTTTTATATTGACCATATTGAACACATGATGTTAAGGGACAAATTTCTGCAGGTTTTCATCACTAACAAATAAACGGCTAATACTGCTGGTCATACTTTAACCAATGAGCAGAAACAAACAAAGTCATCTACAGTATTTTACATTGAAGGTGGGACGTCTCCATTATTATCATAAAAAAAATTCAATGAATTTTAAAGAAAGAAAACAATTACTTTTGGTTGGAATAATACGAGGTGCCATATATATTTAATGAGTGAGGCCATCATCTGATAATTGAACTAATACCAAGACAAGATGCATCAGGATCTGGTTGTCTTTCCTCTTCTGCTTATGTGGATGAGATAAGATTACCTTTGGTCAATGTGGATGAAAACGTGCCGAGAAATGCTGGTCTAATCTTTATCTCCCCTACAGTCGACCCGACCTGAGGAGAAGGATAAAGATCCCTACGAATCGTTGATCATCCCTGCCCCACTTCCACCTAAGTCTCCCCAGTGAGGCCGTGCATGGCAACTCCTGAGTCAGCAGCATTGTTCATTGCAGCATCTATTATGATAATAATAATAATAATAATAATAATAATAATAATAATAATAATAATAATCAAATGTTTAAATTGTAAATGAAGCAAAAATGCCAGATATTCTGTGGATCCAGATGTGTTGCTTTCCTCTGTTATAAGTGATAGTCCCTTAAGTATCTTTGGGTTTTAAACTGCTGATTAGACAAAACAGGTCATTTGAAGACATCACTTTGATTTCCACATTTCCACATTTTGTGTAAAAACAAAGTCTCCAGCCATGCTAATATATACACAGCCATATAATGTTTGCTGTGCGTTAGTAAGCTAACATTTGCTTATTAGGTAACATTTTATCAGCATGCACAACATCTAATAAATGTTTCTAACATTATACCGTTGTAAGCACATATGAGGACGTGTTCATTAACTGTGCTATTTTTCAATTAAGACACATTGTATAAATGCATTAATAAACTCCAATATCTCCTTACAACTACATTATAGTGTGTTTTAAACAATTCAATAAGTGTTTATGTTGTGCTAAATAGGGGTGCTTAGTGTTACCGCTAATTAGCACTCAACCCAACAGGCTTATTGGAAGGTCAGTTTCTAAGTGTTGAAGAAGTTTATATTTTGCCTGATTATTACAATTAATCCTGTTGCGGGACCTGAGTGTGTGTGCCAAATTTGCAAGCAATAGATCTAATACTTGCTGAGATATTTTAGTCTGGGCCAAAGTGATGAACGAAGCGACCTACACTGCCATCCATAAAGTCCCCTGCACCTGCTATAAATCATCACACCAGTTAGCTTTATCCTGTAACTGAATGTCCAATTAAAGACAAAGCACATGTCAAAACACTTGGAAAATGGTTTAATGATGTTTACAACAAAAGAGAACTGTACAGTTACAGTAAAAGATTATCTTTATATGTGTATAAAAACAAAACAAACAAAAATACAGCAGACAAATGCATCAAAATCTACTATGTATCCTGATTCACATACTTAAAACTCCTACACAATCTTTCAGTTCTATGCCGCCACAAGTGGAGGCTTTTTTTTTTTGTTTTTTTTTGTTTTTTTTGTCTTGTAGTCAGATCGGAGCAGTGTCCCTCAGTGTTGTAGTCCATAATGGAAACCAAAACTCCTTACATTAGAGTCCTGGAAAGTCAACTCTTGTCAGACTGCAGAATAAGAAAAAAGGGAAATAAAACCAGGACACATTCCTTTAGATGAGCCCAAGCTTCCAAGGTGAGTAGTAAATGTTTTACAGAATGCATTTCTTGAGATACACAGACTTAATATGTACATGGTTGGCGTTTTTTTTTCTTTTTCTTATTTTTCTCTCTTGTTGAAGCCATGGTCACTTGGGCTGTGAACTGATAAATCACACACGACACACCCAAAAACATACAAAAATACTATATCTTTAACCTACCAAGAGTAAGACAGTTTTGCAATTAGTTCCATGCTGTGACAGAAAAAGGAGATTACAACAAACAAATGAGAAACAGACGCTTTTCACGCAAGTTTATCTCAGAAATATACCAAAATATACATCTAAGCTTTGGAATTACTGAGGCTAGGACTAAAGCCAGTGCTGGGTTTGTCTCTTAATACACATGCTGCAGGGTGGAAGGGAGAGAAAACAGAGAGAGAGACAGGACAGAGAGATATCTTTGGTATCTGCATTTGTCAAAAGTTAAATATTTGGATTTTTTGCTTTGGGATAGCGCTTGTGAGGTCCTACAACCTCACCTAGAGTAAAGCATTAAACAAAGTGTCACTGAAGCCCGTCGGCCAGAGGTCTGAGCCGGAGGGACACAGTCCATGCAGAGTGAAGGACCATGATGCATAGTGTCACAGCTGATCAGAGTCTGTAGTGAAGAGACAATGTCAAAGGAGAGAGCGGAAGAGGGGAAGGTGGGAGGGAGGAAGAGGAGGGGGGGGGGGCACAGCAGTGAGTTTTAGGGACCGCAGGATGTATATTCCTGGAGACAACAGGGTAATGTCCTGGGACTACAGTGTACAGGTGATGAGGAAGAGACACACGCACTGTGAGAGGCAGGAACAGCATTTTTCACCACAGTCCTTGAGAGAGAGAGAGAGAGAGAGAGAGAGAGAGAGAGAGAGAGAGAGAGAGAAAGAGTGGAGGGGGAACATCCTAGCAACAGCGCTCAAGACAAACAAACATACAGAGTCCTGAGCATGTACAGTGTGCACAGGAGTAACCCTCAGCGTGTATTAACAAACATCACCCAGCTACCACCGGATTGGTTCGTGTCTGTCGGAGAGAAGCCCGCTCACCTCCCGCTCAGCCCCCTCCGATCCCCGCCCACAGGCACTGAAACCGCTGCACCGGCGGGATGCCGGAGTGTTTTGTTTTTCCGGGCGGATACACATTCGCATGCAATAAAAAGCAAACTTTTTTTTTTTTTTTTTTTTTTTTTTTTTTTTACAGATGAACCGAGGACTCGGGTGAGAGCGTGCAGCCGGGATTTGATGCTGAGCAGTGAGACGGGGATGGGCGGGAGATGGTGTCGTTCGTTTACAATCAAGTTAGAAGTCTTTGGTTAATGTTGGTATCACAGGGGAAGCGAGAGCGGGCTGCGACAGCGCACCGTCATGTGGGAAGACTTGTTCATACCTGTACCTGATCGGAGTGAAAATAAAATTAAAAATTAAAAAGAAGAAGAAAAAAAAAAAAGGATTGTCAAACTTAAAAAAATGTTTAAACATGGAGGGGGTGTTAAAATGCACGTCTACCTAGACCACATTAATCAAATGACCCATTTATATCATAGAGAGTAACTCTGAACTGACGACTAAGGACAAAAGAAACATTTATCTGAAGTTACAACAAATAATTTCCACCAAATGCTGAAATATATCAGTGTGCAGCATAAGAACACCAAACAGTGAAAGAAAAACAGCAGACATTCATGGGTACTGGTGTGAATTCTGTCTCCCCCTTGTGGCGACATTTTTCCGACACCCTTCACTAAGTACAGGTATGACCAGGCTTCTCCACGGACACAAGTTTGAGTATTTTCATCTTTTTTTTTTTGTGAGATTTTATAAAATATTTTTCTTATTTCTTAAGTAGATTAAAGCAGGTTTCACTCAGTCTTGAGTTAGAAATGAGGTATACAACAGCTCCTTTGCCTTACTGGTGCTCCACACTTCCTTTGTCAACGTTAAATACCAGCAAACCAGTGTGGTGGATCAACATACAACAACTTGACGAGTGGCTGATCCACGAGCGCATGTCAAAATCTCTGAATCACCCACTGAAACTGAAGCATTAAAGCCAAGTCAGTGGCAATAAGTTCATCAGTTGTCAGCTAATAAGATCATAAGTAGAACACAAACTGTAGTTTTACCATAATAAATCAAAAACTGGCTTGCTTAAAGGCTCTAGTTAATCAGTAGAGAACCCCCCTCTGGACAAACAACAAAAATAAGTACTCTCATGTCTCACCCTTTTAAAAATCACTCTCAAACACCCGCTGGAAGATGGGAAAAATGCACTATAATGGTTTGCAGACTGCCCTCACTATTCTCTCTTTGTAAGACACACTCACACACACACACACACACCCACCTGCTGGAATTATTAGTAAAGCTTTTCTAACAGGTATTCAACCTGTCTGAGTCACACCTAAAAACATAGGTAGCAACGTAATCATCGCACGCACCAAAATGCCCAAAGTACACTGTATTGTTTCGCTGAAAACAATGCACCAGGTGAGCTCAACGCTCAAGCTCGCACTCACACTCACACACAACAACAATGCTACAATGCTCATGTCTTCTACGTAACAATAAGGCATAAATGATAATGTTAATCTTCTTTGTCAAACTAAGAAAGCCAGTGATCTTGCCCTCTCACACTATACAAAACAATTAAAGGCATAAAGTAATATTAAAAAACAAAAAAAAAAGTCAAATGATTGTTAAAGACAGCACAGCAAATCAAGTCCACAAACGACTCAACAAAAAAGAAAAAAAATCAAAAACAAAAATCTATTAAAAGATTAAGATCAGATGCTTCAGTCTCCTACCAAACCACAGGATGTGTCTGTCAGGAGCGCCTGAACGAGACCCTCCTGTAGAAAAGTCCTCGCAGATACACGACAGACACAGGTGTCAGCGACTCACGCTCCACCGAGGCGTGGCCTCAGATTTCTTCTCGTTTTTTTGGTCTTGACAGTTTTCAAAAAAAAAAAAAAAAAATTGCTCTTTCGTAATAATAAAAGGAAGATTTAGGGGAGATTTTTTGAGTAAGCATGATAAACACTACATTCAGTCTTGATAACATACTGGTTCAAATATAAAATATGAATATCTTACAAGTGTTTATATATATATATTTATATGTATAGAATTAAGAAAAGATCGTTTCTCTAATTCTTCAGTCTTTCCTCAGATAAATATTTCAGTAACATCCTATGGTGCCGATGGCAACTGGTTCAGCTAGCACACGTTCGACTCATTAGTAACTACAAACAGCACTGGAACAGGACTGAGTCCTTTAGGCCCATCGTGGCCTCAGAGACAGGGAAACCAGCAACGTGAGCAGCCAGACACCTGCCGAGCTGCAAAGAGAAAGGCTTTTACTTTGGCAAGAAAGATCTCAAAATAATATTTAAACCTGGAAATACCCCATAAATAGTAGTACTAGAAAATAGCAGTAGTAGGTTGTCTTTTTAATGTATGGTTCCTATGTGTGGTTCATCAGTATAAACTCTGAATGGTAAGCCAGACAGTACTTATACATTCTACACTGTTCTATACACAGAAATGTCTAAAAGGTGAACCTTATGTTTAAGTGCTGCTGAGGTATATTCAGTCAAAATAAATCAATAACAGAAAAGAAGTACACAAGAGGATAACATGGACAAATTTTGCTGCTTACAGTCTCAGTGATTTAATAATCACTCTGGTAATTCGTTTTGTTATTTGGAAGCAGCAGAACAATGCTACTTTTGTACGGGGTTTAGTTGAATGTGTAGCACATAAGAGTACTTAGCCCGACACTGTGTTGGGTAAGATAATTTGGCGGGTTTTAAACTAGTCCGCAGACAGATTTGGGGAGCAGCATATTGTTTCCTAACATGCTGGTTCACAATGTTGGTGCTGAGAGGAGGTGTAGTATGTCATCCGATGCAGTTACATAGGTGAGCCCTCCAGATGAGAGGGTCCAAACCACAAAACCTGATTTTCACAGGGTGCAGTCATAAAGCTATAGGAAAGCATGCAGGCCTCTCAACAGCGCAACTCCACCCGGAGCTTCAGCAGCAAGTTGTTAAAGCTAAGTTTCTGTGATCCTTATCCAGCAGCACCAAATCAGGAATTATCAGGTACTGACCAAGGTGAGAGAAGAATAAAATATTTTACTATAGCAGTGGTCAGAGTAGAGATCATGAACGGCAACTTGTGTGCTCGGACAGGCACAGCAACTACTGAGGAAAACCACTTTGGTTCAAGCTGTTGTTTTATGGCTGAATATTAGTACAAAACCAAACAACAGAACCTTTCTATTATGCTTCAGAAAAGTCCAGAACTGCTACCAAAATGGCCAAAACTGATTAAAAAAGGAAAACAAGCCATCAAATGGCTCAAAGAAATCCAGAATCAGGCATTCGGGGTGAGGCCCCGGTGATACAAATCAATTCAAAAAGAGTAAAAGGAAACTACTTTCTCATGCCACAACTCGCCTGTCCCTCTCTTTTTGGTCAGTTTTGCTGCCAATTCAAAGTTGAGCTATGAGACACTTGGTCAAATTAAAAAAAAAAAAAAAAAAAAAAAAAAAAAAAAAAAAAAAGGTCATCTTTGGAAAATGATCATCAAAATATTGCATTTCTAAAATCTGTTGACAATGAAGAGAGATTCTGTACTCATAAATATATTGACTAGACTAAGCTACACCGACTACACACAGCAATTATTTTAACAAATATTTTTGGTATATCTTAAAGTACGTAAGCCAGTCAAGTGACTGCAGACAAATAAAAGACAGAATTTCATTCCTCCCAAAAAAGGCAGACTGCAGCTCATCAATCCAGTTTTTTGGTACAGATACTGTGCACAAGTAGATACAACGGTACTACTGTTAAAAAAGAAAAAGAAAACAAAAAACACAATACAATAACCTCATCTAGCCAATGCCACCATACGTTTGGTATGATGACCATGCCCCCTGACTAGTCCTCCTCGACACAGACCAGTCGGCCGCACAGCCTTATGCAGTCACTGAACTCTCAGCACCTGCCTGAGCTGTAGACAACACATGCAGACTTCTACTTTCTACCTCTGAATCCAAACATAATGTACATTTTTCCAATGGATCACCATCCAAAAACAAATCACCCTTAATCGGACACGGCACTGCATGTGTGCAGCTCTTTTTAAAGCTCTCAACATATTGTTTTTAGTCATTTTCTATCAGTGTCTATGATCCACACCTAGACCGCCGTTTTACAAAAGCTCAGCAGCTACTTTGCCACCGCAGCGCGATGTAAAACTCAGTGTTTCCAGAAAGAGAGACTCAGAGAGACATATCTGGTCCCTCCGACCCTTAAAGCAATGATAACCTTTATATCGGCCACTTATTACTTGTTTTTAAAGCCTTATAACCACGATTAGAAAGTGATAGTTAAATCTTAACTTAATATTAGACTTACAAAGTTCTGAAAATGTCAAAAAATACAGACAGTAAAGATAAAGGAAAAAAGTCTCTAAAATATAACTTTGATATGATTTACGTCAAAGCCTGTCCAAAAACCCAAAAGAGATAATCAACGATGGGGCAACACACAGATCCCCATTAGTGATGATGAATATTGTGAAATTAGTAGTAAATCAGTTTAGTTTGAATGTTAAAAGAGCAAAATCCTAAAGTTTTTGGTTAGAAGTATTTCAGAGAAAATTCTGACCTGGAAATAGGAGGATATATATATATATACAAAATGTGAACAGCTTGATGGTGCCGAGGATATTTTCTTCCTGGACACATGTCAAGGTTCATGAGGAGCGGCAGGCCAACAACAGTGTCCATCTGGCTACTGTTTGTGGAAAAAACATCCAAGAATCATAAAGGAAAAGACAGCAAACAAACAAACAAAAAATAAAAAGTTAACCTCAACCTCACTCGAGGTTCTCTTCTTTTTGGTGGCAGCAAAAAGGATTAAATAATGATAGATACAATGGAAAGAATGTGGGGTGGTTAGTGAAGCACGGAGCCTATATCAAACGACCTCCCTATTCCCTACATGGTGTGATAAGAGTAGTGCACGACATAAGAAATAGGGCGTTAATTCGGGATGCAGCCTGACTGGCTTCACTGAGCCTTGGAGGCAGTGGTAATGGTCGAGGCTTGCACAGGCACAGCAGCTGTGGTGGCTTGATGATGAGCATCTGCAGTGACCTGAAGCCCCCCCGCCCCGGCCGACACCAGGCTGACGGGGTTGCTGGTGAGCAGCGACAGGTTCTGGGGGCTCAGGAAGAGCGGCGTTGTCACCAGGTTGGGCGTGTTACCACCAGAGGTGTTGGCGAACAGCAGGTTGCTGCCGTCCAGAGAAGTGATGGGGATTGTGCCGCTCGATGCCAGAGCTGTGGAGAATATGGGAAAGAAGAAGCGGGTGGTGCTTTTAGTGTAAGACGACGAGATGGTTGACAGTGCTCTCTTTCTAAAGGATTTGTTTTTTTGTTTTTTTTTTTCCATCGTCGGAATTTATCAGCAGCTCAGTGGGATTAATTTTTCTACTCGCAGAAGTAATTTTCTCTCAACAGGATTAACTTCATGGGCGTGGCCTGAATTATAGTACCCTCAATATGCAAATGTATTGTGTCCTCATTAAATTTTTGCTTTCATTATACAAATTATACCAACAATGGGTTATACTCATGACCTCATGATGGCTTTTTCCCCCCATAATTTTCTCTGTTCATATTCCAAATATGTTCCCCAGGGCCAGAGACCAGAACCCTGTTTCTAGGAGATGGTATAATCAATTAAAATCTAAGATGACAATTACATAAAAATATAGACTATTTTTACAGTAACAAACCTTCAATGCAGTTTTAACTTGTCTTCCTCATCACTCCCTACCACACACCCAACACCCATAAACTGATTTCTAATCAACGTTGTTCATCAGTATGTCAGGTATCCAGTCTGTTATTACCAGCTTTCAGTATTCAGAAGATCAAATCTGAGATCTGAGTGAGGACCTGGGTGTTGCTGAGTATTTTTTCAAGTTTAGTAATAACCATTATGAAATACTGTAGAGCACCGTGTCCCTCGAAAGACAAACCACCCAAACGAAATACAGAAACAGTCCACAGTTCAAAAACAGGGTGGGAAACCCAGCTTCATACCAAACATTGTTTTGTCTGAGACCAGAAAATATTTGCTCAGTGTTAAAAGTAATTTCATAACATTAGTACACACCTTGAATGGTGGCCAGGGTGCTGTTGCTCATGAGAGCAGGACTCAGTGCACTGCCAAGGCCACCAGGAGTCAGGCTGAGCAGGGCCCCCCTAGACACAAACACAGGGGAAGATCATTTATATCAATAGAGAAGACACCTTAACACCAGAGGTGATATTTAGAAGACCAGTTTGAACGTGGCCAGCACTAACCCTGGTGCGAATTGGGAGGAGGCCATCAGTCCTGGGTTAAGCCCTGCAGCAGCAGCCGCCATTGCAGCAAAGCTCGCACTGGTGGGCAACTGGGCGGCACTCTGCAGCGCCGCAGACAGCCCCTGAGCCGACACCATCACCTGACCTGTCCCTAAAGTGGTGGCTATGGATGTCGGAGCCTGGGTGACGATGGTGTGCGCCTGAGTGCCAACCTTGCTCTCTGTGGTCGTGGACTGAATAGTCGTTGGTGACGGGCTTAAAGATGGAGAGCTGGGTGCTGTGGTAACCATAGGTGCGGT